CAAAGAAAGTCATGTGTTACATCAGTTCCCCAAAAAATGCAATTTGGAGCCACAGGCCCTCAAATGTCCCATTTATGTCCTTGTCGTTCACTTGGGTTTATATTCTGGAGAAGTTCAAAGGATGACTTTTCTGCACAAAAACCAAATTGAGAAGAATCTTCTTCTCTGAAACATGACACTTCACACAATCCTAAATTTACCTCCAAACTTGTGCGGTTTAGTAAATTGTCCACATAAACTTTTAATTTTAACAATCAATTCTTAAATTTACAAAATTGTTGTAATGTGTCCCGTTTTATTAAATTTGTTTGATTTTTTTTGTTAAATTTAAGAAATTAAAAGTTGATAAATTGAAAATTTTGTGTTATATTTGAGTTGAGATGTTGGAATTTTTCGTTTAACATGCTTTTTTTGAGCATTAATTTAAACACAATTATCGTCAAAATAAGACATATTACAAAAATTTTATAAGTTGATAGGACAATTTATTAAAATTAAAATTCAGAAAGTAAGTTGCTAAAACAGTATAAATTCTCTGGAAATAAAATTTAGATTTGGTGATATTATACATATTTCATTCATGTTTGAGATGATATTGTATAATTGGAACAAAAGAAGGTATTGTTTGTCTGATTCCCAATCCAAACTCAATAATAAGGCGACAATCCTACGCGTCATCAACTACCTTCTTATCTGCCCACGTGTTACTGTCCACATGACATTTTATTTTTGTTGTTCTTCTTGTTTGGTTTTTTGTTCTTTTATTATGTTCCTTGAAAATAAGTGGAGCTCTGAGTTACACGTTATGAGACTGACTAGAAATATTTGTTCTACATTTTGGATTGGAGTTCCATGTTTTTCTCGTTTTTCACAACTAACATGGATCATCGTTGGGTTATGCCGTAAAGAATCCCATGAATTTAGAAAAGTATACCATTGTAAGTATGAATATATCTTAAATGTTTGAGATTTTTTTCTGTTTATTTTACTGATTCGAGTTTTATTACAGTAAAAAACTATCAGAAACAGTCACATTTAATTTTTTTACTACAGTAAAAAAACTCGCACATAAAGTCATATCTCAACTCGAATTAAAAACTCGAATCAGCGAACTAAACAATTATGTCTGGAAAAGAATTCCCGAGACCAATATTACAAGTAGTATAATTTGTAAATTTGAATGTTGGAATTGCAAAAGATAATATATACTTGCAAGCTTTAAATATTTAGTTACTAAAATTAAAATTATGCATTTGCGAACCGATATTGGTGTCGTGATGATATCAAATCTGATTATATCATTTTCATAGGTAAAGACTTTGGTCATTCACATAAATGTCCTACATATAATATGTAAACATAAAATTCATTGTATGTAATAACAATTTTTAAAGCATAATAGCAAGTAATTTATTCCCGCATGCTAGTGTTACATAAAATAAAAACATATACCCATTTAAAAAATAAATAATAATAATAATAATAATAATAATGAAAACATGTATTGATTTTATTTTTAACATGTTGGACCTAACTAAAGACAAATCTTATCTTTATATGAGACCGTTTAGTTCGCTGATTCGAATTTTTAATTCGAGTTGAGATGTAATATGTGAGAGTTTTTTACTGTTAAAAAAACGTTAAATATGACTGTTTCTAAGAGCTTTTTATTGTAGTAAAACTCAAATCGGTGAAATGAATGAGACCTTAATTTTATCTATATCCATATTAGAACCTTCCGTATTAAAGGGAGTCATTTCACCGATTCGAGTTTTCAGTTTTAGGTTTCTACAGTAAAAAGCTCTCAGAAAATGTCACATCTAACTTTTTCTGCTATAGTGAAAAACTCTCAGAAAATGTCACGTTTCAGCTCGAATTGAAAAGTCGAATCTGCGAAGTAAACGATGATAACCTTAGACTCGAGCTTTTCAAAGTCTACGACTTTTTTGGTTTGTCAATTAAGGCACACGATTAAAAGCAAGTTTTCCCCTCAAAAAATAAAAAAAATAAAAAAGGCACACGCCCATTTTAAAGTTTGCCTAATTGATAATGAAAGCTTCCTCCCCATAACTAATTATCAATTTTTTTTATCAATAAGTACTGCCCCATTTTTTTTTTCCTATAAAACAACCCCCATGGCATGAATTACTCCACCAAAAAGCATTTAATTAATCCAACACCATCATCAATTGTTCAAAAAGTAATAATATATGTAATATGAAATTAGTTTGTATGGTTCATGAAATTAGTCAATGTAACAAAGTCGCCATCTTCCTCAAAATCAAGAGAAGATTCTAAAATATAACTAAAAAACAAACAACAATAATAAAAAAAAAAAAACACAACTTATCAAAAACAAGAACAAAAAATAAAAAGCATATGATTCCAGTGCGTAAAATCCACCGTTCATATTACTTTTCCTTCCTAGAGTCTTCCTCCAAGGGCCAACTCCAACCAAAAAAATAAAAAAAAATAAAAAAATCCCACCACCACCATAATATCATCGCGTTTGTTGACTTTGACCACGTAGCCGACCATCCTGTGTGGCAGCTACCACTCCTTATCCGCCACGTGGTCCCGCGCAACCTCTACTGGTCCACATTCTGACATCCACTATAAAATGCCAGCCCAAACGCAAAACCCAGTTTCCCTTTCGCTTTCTGGATTCGGAATCAGACACAGAACCATTAACAACCTCTCTCTCTCTCTCTAGTTTCTCTCTCTACCGTTGAAGAAGACGATGCCTTATTGCGAGGTCGCGTCGCAGAAAACCAGCCTGAACTCGCAGCTCAACAATGGAATCAAGATTTTCTACAGAACGTACGGTTGCGGACCGACCAAGGTTCTCCTCATTATAGGTTCGCTCGTCTAATTTTCAAATTTTCGATCTTTTTTCTCGTCAGAATTCTTCTGAATTAGGTTTTCGTTGAATTCGTCTCGGTTTTCTGATTCTTTGATTTCAATAAACGGTCAGGATTGGCTGGAACTCACGAGTCATGGGGCCCACAAATCAAGGGACTGACGGGCTCCGATAAGCCCAACGACGCCGATGAGACGACGACCGGTGAATTATGCGACAATGAGGCTGGTTGTGGCGGCGACGGTATCGAGGTTTGTGCCTTTGATAATCGCGGCATGGGCCGGAGCTCTGTCCCCACCAAAAAGTCTGAATATACGTGAGTTTCGATGTTCCGAGCAAAATAATCTTCCATTTTGAATTAGTTTCTCGGAATTTTAGTTCCTATTTCTTTCTCCCTCATTATTCCGTAGAGCTGATGTGATTGTACGCTTATTTGCATTTGCTTTCTTCGAATTTGTTTGTTAAAATCTAATGTGCTTAAATCGGTTTTGGTTGCATTGTCTTCTTCTGTTAGTAGTTTGCTTTGTGTATCCACATTTACATTTTATGGATGTTTATGTGTAAAGGTTTCGTGTTACCATTTCAGTGCTTCATTTCCTCCCATTTGAGTCTTAAAGTTTTCTTTAGATGAAGTTAAGGTCTCTAATTAGACCGAAATTGCTCTGCTAAATGGGAAGCTTTTGCCTTTTAAATTTTGTGCAGAATAAAGAAAAAAGTGTCCAATTTTTCCCGATCATGACACATTTGATTTTATTCTGTTTGAATGTGGAAAATCTAGGGAAAGGAATCATTGAGACCAGTTAAGTTGAGAGATATTTTATTGGGACTTTCTCCTGTAGGCTTTCCTATTGATAAGGCCAATTTTTGACTGTGAGATCTAGTTAAAATTATATCAGATTAAAAAAGTACGCAGAAGAGACAATTTTTGATACATATCTAATGGCTGAAAAATGAGAATTAACAATAGTTTTTTTTTTCTTTTTTTTGGTCCTACCAAAAAAACTCCCTACTTTATTGTAGAGAGACGCTAGGAACAACGGCACTGCTAAATGCTCCTACTATTGGTATCCCTACTGTTGCTCAGTTGAAGTAGATTAGTTTTATGAGTTAAAATAACACAATAGGTTATTTATGGATGCACTTACATACTTATAAACATGCAAGTCACATGTTTAAGTCAAAAGAGACTGAGGTTTCCAAAATGTTGTGCGATCCTCTGATGCAGAACAAGAATTATGGCAAAGGACGCCATTGCTTTGTTGGATCATTTGGGTTGGACAAATGCCCATATTTTTGGTCATTCAATGGGTAAGTCCGTCAACTGTACTTTGTTCGTATCCTTGATTGGGAAATTTAAGCTGAATTTACTCATTCCGTGGTTGAACTACTTTTCATATACATGTTCAATTCTGCTATCTTACTTGAAGTTTTGCTATGAATACAGGAGCTATGATAGCATCCAAAGTAGCAGCAATGGTTCCCGAAAGAGTGTTGTCATTGGCTTTGCTAAATGTAACGGGTGGAGGTTTTGAATGTTTTCCAAAGGTATTTTTTTCTTTTAATTTTTTCACACCGACCAGTTGGGAATCGTCTACATTCTACACTTCTCTTTATAAAGAACAATGCTTATATTGGTTTTGCGAATGGATACATGTTTCGTGGAAAAGTACGATCAATAAATTGGATGTGAGTGTATATCTGTATTCTTAAATTCTCACTTTACCCAACTCAAAGGCCAGTTATAACCCTACTCAAACGTCCTGCTTATCCATATGGCCCGGGAACATTTCACCATTTTAATCTATCTTCGTTATTGAAATTGGAAGCGTATGACATGGTATGACCATAAACGATCAAGCTTCTGATCGGATTTGGTTGTGCTTGCGCTAGGTGTGAAAGCTTTGTCTTCTAAGATATCTTTTAAACCCCGATTTCCTATTAATGGTACAGTTATAAAGATCAAAAGTAAATTGGATGATAATGAGTTGAGATCTTGTATTAGCAAAATGAGAGATAAACCTGCTGCAGAGACAATATCCTTCAATAAGATTTTATAGTATTAAAGTTCTCTTTTAATTTGTTGCTATAACCTGGTCTACGTTAAATAATTGCCGATGGTTAGCCGTAAACCAGAAAGGCAAAAACTGCATTTATTTTTTACTGTTGAACTTGTAGTGGAGAGATATTAAAGTTATCTTCTTGCAGCTTAACAGACAAACACTATCCATTGCGATCCGTTTCTTAAAGGCAAAGACTCCTGAGGAGAGGGCTGCTGTTGACTTGGATACCCACTACTCGAAGGTTAATATTGCTCTTCAATCTATCTGTCTCATTTGTTATTTCTCTTGTATCAGTCAGTCATTTTGTTATCCATGATCTCTCTACTATAACCAATAGAGTAGAGCAAATCATTCAAATTTCAAAGTAGCAGGAGCAACTCTCACCATTTCACTGATAAAATAACGTGCAGGAATATCTTGAGGAATATGTTGGATCCACCACAAGAAGAGCGATCTTATATCAAGTAAGAATAAGTAACTCTTTTGCAGACTGTCCCATAATAACTACATTGGAAGCGGAAGGTGATAAATAGACCTGCTTTCTTATTATTTGACCTAAAATCACGTCATCTGCAGGAATATGTGAAAGCTATATCATCAACAGGAATGCAGTCTAATCATGGTTTTGAAGGTCAAGTGAATGCATGCTGGACGCATAAAATGACACGAACAGAAATTGAATTGATTCGATCTGCTGGGTTTTTAGTTTCAGTCATTCATGGCAGGTGATAATCTTACTTTCTGAATTCTAATGGAGAACTCGTCAATTTTCTTCTTTTTCCTTGAGCTATATTCAAAGTGTGTAACATACGATGCATAAATTTCTGAATGCTCAGATTTTTTTTATATGAAATATCAATCAAGACAATGTTTTAAAATGTTCGAGCATGAGATGGGAAAATGGATATAGAATGACAAGTCATGTATATGTATACACATGCATTGACTTGCATTCAACTATTAATCATCATTTTTCTTCCCTTTGCCCCAATTCCCCTTATCTTGTTCATACATACCACAACTTCTGGATCTCGTTCGTCATGCCTATTCATGATTGCTATGTGATTGCCTTCGGTGTATTGGAAAAAGCATATCTAAAGTCATGTATGCACGATTAGTATTGGTCGTGTGAATTGGAAGGCATGTATAAAGTTACAACTAGATGTAATGTTGAGTTCTTAGTCTTAGGTTAAACTTAGCTTTGTTGTCTTTTCAATTCACTGAATTCAAAGTTTGCGCTTTCTTTTTGGATATGTAGGTATGATGTCATTGCTCAGATATATTATGCACGGAGACTAGCAGAGAAACTGTATCCTGTTGCTAGAATGGTAGATCTTCCTGGAGGGCATCTGGTGAGCCATGAGAGAACCGAAGAGGTAAGCATTAATTTGTCTCTGAAAATGTTTGAATCTTAACCATATTGGATGTCGCTTATATTCTTTATTTGCTCTGGACTCGGGAGCTATATCAGGATTTACAGTCTGATTTTGTTTACTCATGCTTAACCGTGAAATGAAACCTGAATACTTTTCATTTCATTTCAGATTAACAAAGCTCTTATTGAGTTGATTGACGCTTCAAAAATGAAGATAAACCCACATGAATGGACAAATTTGCCCAACAAAAGATCTGGTAAGTAGTAGTTTACAAGACCTAGAATAGTGCCTAGTGGTGATTTCATAATAAGGTTGTCGTGATGGCTGACCTTGGACAAAATATAAGACAACATCAATCTGGTTAAGCGGGCAAATGTCAATGCATTCCTATGCCCAGCATTACAGCATTAAATTCTACGTTCTGCCTTGCTGAAATGTTCTATTTTATCAGGATGGATGGCAATAAGACCGTCACATATCAGAACAAATACAGAAGGAGGAAGCAATGTCTCTTTCATGTCTAACATGTTAGAAAAATTACACCTATGCCTTTTATACCTTTTTGGACTCTTTGTTCTGACATTTGAGTTTGCAAATAAGACTTTGAGAAGATTGAAGCCAGTGAGAGTTGGATCTTCGCTGACATGAAGCCTATAGTCAACCCCTGTTTTTCACCAGTAAGTTCTTTCTTTTCTTTCTTTTTCTTTTTTTTTTTTTCCTGGTACCAAGATTTTCATTCAGTTAAGCTGCATGTTTGCTAAGATATAAGCTAAACAACTATTTCTTTTCTCTAGGGGTTTTGTTGGCCTGTCACTCTAATGGTGCAGCTGAACGTGATGTAAGCAGTTAATGATACTTGAAGACGACATGAGACTGTCCGAAAAACCAGTGTTTGACTAACAAAAGAAAGTTCACGAGCATTTGCGTTGAAGGCGGGGGGGACAGGGAGCAATCACCAAGGCATTGTTAGGGAGATCAAATTTCCTTTTCCCTTGAATTGCCTAGGCCTTGAGCAGATCACGATGCTAACATACACTATTTGTATCTAAGACGATGAATATATACAGATCTCATCTCCAAATGGAGTAGGAAAAGGGCTATATTGACATGACAGAATAAAGAACACTCTTCACTATCCCTACAATGCAACATTCTTATTGAATGTATCAACGAAGAAAATAATTCGATATGTTATTTAGTGATCATCATACCAGGTGAACAGTCTAGTTCCATCAACTTTCCTAGTTCGTAGCCTCTAGTGCTACAACATGGCCAACTGTATTGAACATTCAATCGATAAGTCAAGCTTTTCACACTAAAGCACCAAGAAAATCCGAGAGGACTAAGACGTCTAACCATAAGCGTATAACATGCACTCAGTCCCAAAAAGGAAAAGGGAAAAATTAAAAAAAAAAAATTCCATGTGATGCATTTATTTTCCTCTTTTTTTTTCCCCCAAAAATGTTTAGAAATCAAGGAATATTGAATATCAATCCTCCTGTAAGAGGCATATCATATTAATTCAATTATTCTGATTCAGGTCCCATTCATTTTAACGATTCGAGTTAATAATTTAAATTTTACTATAGTAAAAAATTTCAGAAACAGTCACATCTAATTTTTTTATTACAGTAAAATTGATTCAGGTCTCGTTCATTTTAACGATTCGAGTTAATAATTTAAATTTTACTACAGTAAAAAATTTCAGAAACAGTCACATCTAATTTTTTTATTACAGTAAAAAATTCTCAAATAAAATTACATATTAACTCAAATTAAAAATTCAAACTAAAATTAAAAACTCAAATCAACTAGCTAAACGAGTCTTTACTAAACAGTTTTAACTTTCAAGAAAAACCGAGCACGCTAGATTTGCATATAACTGCAGGTTCCTTCATGCAAGAGTCTCACCAGAGTTGTCATACTGATGATAGTCATATAAGAGAAATATAAGAGCAAAATAACTTTAAATACGAGAGAGAGAGAGAGAGAGGAGAATGTACCTGCACTTTTTTCTGACTCTGAGAGGGGAAAATTCTCAAATAAAATTACATATTAACTCAAATTAAAAATTCAAACCAAAATTAAAAACTCAAATCAACTAGCTAAACGAGTCTTTACTAAACAGTTTTAACTTTCAAGAAAAACCGAGCACGCTAGATTTGCATATAACTGCAGGTTCCTTCATGCAAGAGTCTCACCAGAGTTGTCATACTGATGATAGTCATATAAGAGAAATATAAGAGCAAAATAGAGAGAGAGAGAGAGAGAGAGAGAGAGAGAGAGAGAGAGGAGAATGTACCTGCACTTTTTTCTGACTCTGAGAGGGGAAGGTCTTTCTCTGTGGCGGTTCTCTGATCGGTTGGCGATGTTTAGCAAAGCAAATAAGTTATAAGAGAGGCTCAGGAGGAGAAAGTGAAAAGAAGAAGATTCTGTTATTGTGCTGAGTAAGATACCCTTTGAAGCAATAAGAACAAGTCAGAAAGGCAAATATACCATTGGAATATACCATTATGCCTCCACTGACTCTGTTCAAGTCCCCACCATTGTTAATTCACTAAACTCGATTACTATACTCGAAACGAATTGGGGGGCACGGGGAAGAAAACGACAGAAACGCGGCATTTCATTCATATAAACGACAGCAAGATTTTAAAAGACAAACGACACGTCCTTTATATAAAGGGAAACGACAACAAAATTATGTTAAAAAGACGTGTCGTTTCATTGATTTAAAGCAGAGTACTTCTTAACTATGATCTAATAGTTTTACAAATAAATAGCAGCAAAAAAAAAAAAAGAAAGAAAGAAAGAAAGAAAGCAGCAAGCTTGCAAATTACAAACGACAGAAAACTCTTTGACTACAAAGAGGACGTCGTTTTAAATCTCGTGCCAGTTTTCTGCTTAAAGGGCAACAAATTTTAAGACAATAAAAGTATTCTGTTTATCAAACATTTGAAATCCTAAAACAAAATTGGAAACCTTTACTTAAATAAAAATAAATAAATAAGAATGACTACGAGTTGTGTTTCCATAAACGACAGCAAGACATAACAAGGCTGACAACGCGCCGTTTACGAGTTTTGACATCAAGATGACATGCTATTCATTTGACGTAGTCGTTCGACGCAAGAATCGACGACTACATTAAGAAAAGGATAATGATCTAACGACGTAATTTTTCTTCTGAAACGACAACAAAGCTTTAAGTGACAACGAAATTACTTTCTTAAACAACATGTCGCTTCTACCTATAAATGAAACTTCTAACTTGCATTTAACTTTCAATATATAAAAGAAATTTCTTTCCTAACTTAAAACAAAAAACCTCTCAACAACAATCAAAACATATACAGATGAACAATATTATAAAATAAGATAAAATAAAATAAAAACTTGAGAACCACATCTCGTTTTTCTATTTCAAGGGCAATAAATTTTAGGACACCAATTACCAACATCAAGAATGTTAAAAGAAAACAAAAGACTTACAACTTAAAAGAATAGAAAAAGAAATAGTTTTTTTCTTCCTCTATTTTAATAAATGATGTAGTGATAATAAAGAAAATAGCCAGATTTATGCAATGTTGTCGGTAGATTATGAGACAATAGTTACTAAAATATATCAAAAATTAAGCATAGCATCCATAAAAAAAATAACTTTTTTTAAATTTCTTCCTAAAAAAATCCGTTATATTCCTAAATCAATCATTCAAATAAGTGAAACGACGTGTCGGATGAACGTGGTCATTGTGCTTGTGCCCGTTACGAACAGACTACAGTCAACGCAGTGATAGGTCACAGCCCACAACTGATAAATATTATGGTGACATGGTTTTGAGATGATTGGCTATCTGTATCACGTGACCCGCACGTGATAAGCCCGTCCTTTACCTCCTTCATCTTCAATATCAAGCGCCCACTGGGGCAGCCCTACTTTCCCGCTTCGTGTGTCAGTCAGCTCAAACCTCAGAGGCGCTTCAATGGCTGCTTCAGTTGTACCGGACAAATGGGAATTCAGCTGGTTAGTAATCTCTCTCACAAAATTAAGTTTTTTTAGTCCTTTTAATTTCACAAACTCTCATAATTTTCATTTGGCTCTTTTTTTATATGCCTTTCCAATCCACACGGACAGATAAAGTAGAGATTTTTAAGGCCATGCTAATATGGGTTTGAGTCGAATATGAATTTATTACTCTTTTCTTTCTTATAGTGTAACTTGTTTGGCCATTTATAGGTCTTTCCATAATGAAGTTTGGATTTTTTTTTTCTTTTTGGGTTATCTGTTGATTTTCAATCGGTCAATCCAGAAATGTGTTCAGATCCTCTTAATGTCCAAGAAAAGTTTAAAAGAAAAGTGCCCGGAATTCAATCCATCCGGTTATTTTACATGTTTATAATATGGGAGTTCTTGCTTCCTTTTTTATTGAGTTTTGATGTTTTGAAATCTTAATGTTCTTTTTTTTTTTTTAATTGAGTTTTGTTGTTTTGAAATCTTTAGTGGAATATTTTTGCTTGCCCTTTGCTGTTTCGAAATCGTCGTTGCTTGACATTTTCCAGTTCTTCAAATGATGTCTTATGTTGTTAATGCTTTGCAACGAGAATAGCTCATATAATCGTCTAGTCTTGTTAAAGAGCTAAAGCTGAATTCAAAAGTAAAATTCAAGGAAAATTCTTGGATCGTTTTAGATTTTTTGAAGATTGAACTAGCACAAGAGCAATATGGTATAGTTATGTTAGTAATAGTATTGACTTTGTTGCTAGAACAAGCTTTTAGTACTTGAAACAATTGGGAAAAGATTTTTTTTATTTTTTATTTTTTTAAGTGCGATTAGGAAGGATAACAACAATAATAATAACAAATACAAGCCTTAATCCCAAATTAATTGGGGTCGGCTATATGGATTTTTCATTTTCAGTCTGCTCTATTAAACACGAGACGCGATTAGGAAGGATAACATATAAGAAAAATAAAGTTCTTTGATTCAGCTTTTATTGTTGTTACCATCTGTTCGCCTCCGAGTTCTCTGTCCTTTGAACGAAAGATCGATAAAAGTATGAAACTTGCTCTGCAGTGATTTGGAAGTGGATTATCAGTCCGACGAGAATAGTTCAATAGTCTTTGCTGCACTAGCTGTCGATAAGGAGGTAATTCTCATGATTCTCAATTCATCTTTTGTCAGAAACTTAACAGCAGATCTATAATACGATCTAAGCCGTTGAAAGAAAAAAATGGTTGTCAGCTGCCATATGATAAAAGCTGAAAGAAGTTTCGGCAGATGAGATCGTTTTTAAACCTCATTCAGTGGATGAGATTTGGACTGTTCATACATCTGATTTTCTTATTAGAATTTCTCTCCTAATTGCAGTTGCAGCCGGATAAAGTAAAAAGGGAGATGACGGTCTCAAATGGAAAGCTTTCGGTGTAAGAAACCTTGGAAAAATGAATAAATAAGGGTTTGAACTTGGATGCTTCTTTGAAGAATGAGGATCACGCTAATGATTCTAAGAACAGTAAACACGACATTATTTAGTAAATTGACCTGAACAGCTACATGATTTTGTCTACTGCACTATAATTCAATATGTCTGCTTATATCTATCTGTTTTTGTTCTGAACTTTTTGTTACTTTAATCAAAGTAGAAAACCCCGTTCACTCTGAATGAGTTTGATATGGTCAATCTTCTTTGAACTCTTGTTCTTAGGGATTATATCTCATCTTCAATATGCTCAATTACTCTCTTTTTTCATTTAACACAGGCATTTTGAGGCAGTTGAAGCGAGATTTCTTCGTGCGTCATATAGCGCTTTTGTTGACGTTCTTATTCTTGCCACAAAAACGATTGAAGAATTCGGAAAAGGAATGAAATTGTGACAGAAAAACGACCTTGCATTCTTTCCTAGTTAGCAGACTCTGGATCTCACATGGAAAGAGCTGCAACATTGATCAACCATTGGTGTTTCTGAATTTATTTATCTTTATAGGCGGGGATTCTCATTCTAATTTTGCTATGTGGTTATTGTTCTTTTTTCTTTTTTGGTCGCTGCCTATTGCTTTCCGAATGGGTTAGTCTTTCCTTGTCATGATGAGCTGCTTTTTTGGAATAAACCTTCTTAGAAACATGAACAGCTATTAATTGCATAGTTTTTGTCTCTTAAGAAATGATTAGAAAGGGTACTTAATTAAGTAGACATAAAATTGATGGTTTGTAGTGTTAGTTTACTAATTCATCCCAAAAGTTAAGCTGTTAGGAGGTGGGCTAACAATAGTTTTATACTTTAACACTCTCCCTCACGTGTGGGCTGGACAATGGGCAATCGTGTGGGTAAATTAATTAGAAAGCCCAACACGTGAATATTTAAGCTCGAGATATATTAAAGACTTAATACATGATGACAATTTTAAATGGGGATAAAGAGTGTAATTACGGGGGTTGAATCTAAGACCTCACGCTCTGATACCATGTTAGTTTACCATTTCATCATAAAAGCTTAAGCTTTTAAAAGGTGGGCTAATAATAGTTTTATACTTTAACATATAGTAAATGATCTCGTGGTATTGTAATGACTGAGAATGCATGTAAAACAATGATATCCTATTTCTTCAAGAACAAGAAACCAGAAAGTAAAACGAAACTCTACTAGTTAAAGCCTTTTTGAAAGGCAACGTTAATGTTAATTGTGTGGGTAGGCTTAAAAAGTAGCTTTCTAAGTTTAGATTTGATTAAAATCATATTAAAACGAAAAATAAACAAAACTAGCAGTTTCTTATACAAATTTAATGGCTTAAAATAAAATTCTACCGGCAAGTTATTTTTCAGTGCCTATAATAGAATTTTTGTAAAAGGAATGGGGGTATTGTATAATTCAAAACTATCAAACCTTATCAAGTTTCTTTAAATTGTAACATTTATTTATTTTATATGATTTTAGTGTAGCATTATTATTATTATTTTGAAGGGATTCTGGTGTAGCATTATTAAGGTAACGGTATTCATTAATTGTTGATTTAATCTTATTGGTGCCTCTTAAGTTTTAAGAGTCATTCTCATTTTGCCCTCTAAATTTTAAAACTTTCACTTTATCCTCTGAATTTTAAATTTGTCCTATTTATTCCTTTTTGTAAGAAATTTTGGAAAATTCAAACTAAAAAAGGACTCAAGTGTGGCCATGTTTTTATATGTTTATTTTTAATAGAAATTCAAATAGAAAAATCACGTGATTGCAATATTCTTATTTTTTTCTATCTAATTTTAATAAAAATTATAACAAAATGAGTTCAGTGGGAACAATTTAAAATTCAATAGGTAAAATGAGAATTTTTAAAGTTGACAAACTGAGAATGACCTTAAATTTTAGGGGCACTAATAATAATTATCTTAAATTGTAACAAGGGATCAATAAGACAAGCATTAGTCTTTAAGGGGGTAGAAATTAAGTCAACTATCCTAGATGGTGACTTTATTGTGACTGAAATTTGTTATTGACTTATTTACATCGAAATGTTACATCGAACAAAGACTTTCCAAGAGAGTTAGGTTTCCATCTCGGGTAAGGAATCCAAAGATGAGTGGACACTGCAAACTGCCCATTTCTCTATTATAGATGAAGCAAATTACAGACAGATTCACTGCATACTTAGTACCAACTATATAAAAAGCACATTACTCGCGATAAATGTGAAATGGTACAAGATGATACCAAATCTAAAGAAAAGAACAAACATTTCATATCACGCTATCACTCTCAAAAGAAATAGTACAAGATACGTATAGAAGGGGAAAGCTGAGAGCAAAATTATGCAGTCATTTTTCCCTCCTCCTGTGGCTTCATTTCCTTTCCTTTCACCACTGTCTATTTTCTCAGTATTCATCCAAGTAAGTGTATAGCATGTCATCTTTCTTCGACTTACGTCGGCTAAGCAAGGCCTTGAGTAGACGCTTACTTTTGCTGGGGTACTGCTCAACCTCTCTGCCATTTTCCCTATCAGCATGTAATCGCATTGAAGCTGATTTCCGAGGCTCCGAAGGGTACTATAAGATACATGACAAGCTCAAAGTTCAGATTATGAGAATCCATGAAGGAAAGGAAAAATAAATTTACACAGAATCAAGAGAAGGGATGGTGGCATTGAATAAAATTGCTCGACTCTAGAGTCTAAACATGTCATCCTGGTGTCGTATAAGATTTCAGTACGATTATTATCCACAACTTACCCTTCTTCGTGTGTTTGATGGATTTGGAGTCGTCGGCCTGCTCGAGTTTGGGGTAGTTGACCGAGAGCTTGGTGTCACCGGTCTACTTGAGAGTGATCCAGAACGTAAAAGTGGAAACCGGTGAGGCGAAACTGATCTCTTGTCTGATTCACAAGCAAACATTATTATCAGAAAACCATTAGAATGATTAAAACAGAGTATGAAAGAAAATTATTTGAAATGAACAAACACCTAATTCTTTTTTAGGCATTGTAGAAGTAAAAGAAAAAACTCCAGGTTTCTGGGAAGTTTGTGGAGAAGGAGATGGAGAGCGCCCTTTACTGCAAAAGTTATGACACAGTATTAAAACAATCGAAATAATGCGGTAAGATTAAATAAGCAGATCAACTCATTTCAACATTGTCCTTTACCTGGCTGTAGTAGTAGTAGTTGGTGGGGTTTCTCTAATTGTAGCTCGAACAGCTTTAGGGACGAGAAAGAACCAAGAGTGTGTCAAATTCTCCGCCAAGTAATATGCAATAAAACGAATAGGAGATAAGAAAACACCTTACCATTCCTAAACTGATGCCAGTCATCTTCATCATCGAGGCTGCATCCTTGGTATTTCGATTTATTGCGGTTGGCACCACGGATAGTCTCCCCAACTGGACACGGATGAGTAAGCATAAGAATTCATTTATTTTCATTCTAAAACAAGACTAGAAATACACAATGAATATGGATACTTCTATAAGAGTATATATGTGAGAAGTATGTGCTTGCCTGGTAAGATGTACCGCTTGTGGTACTTTGGAGTGTTTATGACCGACGACTGCTGGATGAGGCCCTCATGATCAATGTATTCTTGGCAAGTTCTTAGCCTCTAACAAACCAAATAAAAATAAAATTATCAGTGCCTGTTGAAATCTAGTTTTGTTTTGGTTGAAAAATAGCAAATCTGCCATGCCTGTCAAATTTGTAGACTACCTATTTAGATCATGGTTTAGATAAAATTGAAGCTAACCTGTTCAATGCAAGATACCCGAAGTTCTGTTCCAGAAACTTCATCGACCTTCTCGTCCAGGATATCGTTAACCTTATAACTCACGGAACCTAAATGATCTACTGTATTTACAAGTGCTTTAATAGCATAATCTTTCAACGTCTCCACCACTCTGCACAAAACAGGACTTTTAGTCAAAAGGGAAATACTTCAAAAACACCACTGTGATGAATCAAGTATACTCACATCTGTTTTTGGTCATCATTTGTGTAAGACAGTTCAAAATACTCCGCGGCTGAGTATAATTGTGTTCTCAAATTCTTCAAATCCTGAAAATACATGTGCAATAATAAAATGATAAGCTAGCGTGTTTGAGACACAATAGATAAAAATTTAAACAGAAATGTAAGTGTACCTGAAGACTGTCCGAGAAGAGCAAGCTCTGATGCATAGAAACCTCATCAAAATTGGATGATTCTCTAGGAATGAGCCGAGTAGATGCAGTCATGATGCCCATAAACTGCAAAAAATAGGGCCTAAAAATTCAAAAACAAAGGATTATCAGTTCAATACTCATCAAAGATGCAGATTAGGAGACCAAAAGTCAAAATAATAGGACAACTTAGTATATCAAACCTTTTGAAAAAGAAGTTCTTTAATCCATAAAACAAGCACTTTTTTCCTATTTGAAACTCATGAAAGAAAAAAGGATAAAAAATCTGTACTAAAACCGCTATTTTGGGAACCAATAGTTATGCCTACACAACATTATGTGTAAGAATAAACAAAACACGCAACATAAAACAGGTTAGTGCTGGCCACGTTTCTGCAACTATCTCAGAGAGGAATATCAATATATAAATAATAAGGAGAAATAAAATAAATAAATAAATAAAAGATAAAAAAATGGTATTCCATACTTCTGTACAGTGTACACCAACACCAACTGCATAAAAGAGCATTTTGTCTGAATCTTCACCAATACTCCAAATCCATACAAAATTGAAAGAAAACGCACAAAAAGTAAACGACACCCAATCCTTAAAAACACCAAAAGCTGTAAAAAAATTGAACGCCCTCTTTTGGGTTGCCAGGATAAACAAATGGATGGGAAATTTTCTTTTCTGAGAAAAAATGAGAAAACAAAAATTCTTATGTCCTAAATTCTAGTCCCATTGCCACATTTAAGAATCCATTCTTCTCTCTTCTCTTAGCAACCAAAACATAACAAAAAACCCAGGTGGGAAAAAGGCAAAAATAGAAGCAAAGTTCCGAACCTGGAAGAGTATACTGGTGCAAAATCCCGCTAAGAAACTGAAGAGAAGGCTGTGAGCGCCAAAACACACATCCGAATTGGAGTTTTGAAGCGCAAAACGGGAAACCCAAATGGCAAAGAGAGCCAAATAAGCACATAAATAGGCCACTACTTGACAGTGACCAAAGTTGTTTGGTATAAAGATTTTGACTACACAAAAAGTTAAAAGCAAACGGCCCCAATAATCCGTCTCCACTATACGTACGAAAACAGAAGAAAAGAGAAAAGAAGAAGAAGAAGAGAGAGACAGAGGAACAAAAGTCACAAACAAAACAACATATTAAGGATGGCAATTAGCGAGTCGGCAAACATAGCCAGGAATCCTGGGCATTATTTTTCTGTATTTGTGGGAGAGCTTCAAAAAAAAAAAAAAAAAAAAAAAAAAGAGGAAAAAAAGTCTGCACTTTTTGGGAGCAAAAAACTGGTCAGCAACAGAACACAAGTGTGAGGTTTGTGGCATAATTGCCGTTTCTGGGCTGGGTCCCACTTGCTCATTTGCTTTCTTGGTGTGAATACGGTTGGGTCCTACGCCTTCCTATGCGCTGCTGCTGCACTACACGA